CAAATAGTTGCATCTCAGCCAAATATTGTCCTATCCTAACAAACCATACATCAATGGAAAGCTTATTTATTCAGAATTGAAAAAAATGGACCCTTATCACTGGTATTGGGGTCCAGGGTCACATACATATATATATTATATCACTGGTATTGGGGTCCAGAGTCACATACATATATATATATATATATATATATATATATATATAATTAATTTAGTAGTCTCATTCTTCACCTTTTACAGTATGTTCTTCATCGTGGTCTCCGTCTTAGTCATTTCTAATGCTCAGTTCCTCCAAACATGTTAGACTGGAGGAAGAATAGATTTGTATGTGGTGTACCGCTTAACAGACAACCTAGAAGTAACAAATAACGATTATGAATCTTTTTGCAACGCTTTTAGTGAGATTGTAGGTTTAATTTTCTTCTCCTGGCAGAGTTTGGCGGGTAAAGTGCTGCTCTTTGTTTTGAAGGCCTCAGACATGTAATTTAGCACAAAAGAGCATATTTACCCTCTACCGTACTGTAAATAGCAAACCGCAAGTTTGTATAGCCTCTGAAAACATTTTTAAAGCTATTATGCAAACAGGTTGTATAAAAAGAAACCGTGGTCATGCACTGTCGCAAGGCAAACAAAACCAAGCAAAATCACTCGCACCCATTCATTTTGCTCAAACACATTTGGAGTTTATCTAACAATATTTGTTTTTTTATGAGAAAAAATATCTCATCGGACAGAAACGAAATGGGCTTTATCATGGCGGCGGCAGATAAACGACACGTGCTGGAGGAAGATGAGGATGAGGAGCAGCAAAGTCAGAGCAAAACGATGTTATTGCAACACAAGAAAGTTAAAAATGAAAAGTAAGCATTCGAACGAAAATTAAATGCTGGAAGTACCTGAGTGAGAGCTTTTCGTGGGCCATCGCGGGAGACTCCGGATGGGGTAAAAAGTACGACTGTACTGTACGACAACCGGAAAAAGAAACAGCAGGGAGGAAGAAAGAAGAGGAGAGACCGTTTCCACGTCGCTCGCAAGACAAGGGGAAAAGCAGAGAGAGAGGTGTGCGAGCGAACAGCCCTTCTTACACAAACCCCTGCCAGCGCTAAGCAGATTCAGCTATGCCCTCCTATTCGCCTGCCCACTTCAGCCCCGCTGCCAAGAGAAGAGAGGTCACAACAGCATGAGAAAGGAAAAGAAAACAAGGCGGCAACTCTTGCGACCACCTTGCGGCTCGCTCTTTGGCTTCGTCTGTTGTTGTTGGGTTAGCAGCCAGTCCTCCATGTTTAATACCTCTATGGGTGTTGGCACAAAATGCTAAACACCGTCACCTGGCTCGGGCCTGGAGGCGAGGAGTGGAACTTGGTCCGAAACCAAGCGAAATAAGCAAATCTCAGCCTATCCCTCAGGAGCGGGGAGTCGCTTAAAGCTGCGAGAGAAAATATTGATATCAGGTACATGTACTTACTCAGAGTGCCAAATCACGATCTGACACACGTCCTGAAATAAAGAGTTAAGGCTCCCGAAAGAGTCTTTTGTCAGCATTTGGCATCTGTCCCAGGTACAAGCCTTTCGATTCCTGTTTTACAGAAGTCATTCGCTGCATCTTTAGCTGTCCTCCCATTGCCTGCATGTTTCATGCAATATGCGTTGATGTTTATCCATAGGCATTTGTGCACATCAACTTTTGTTCGTGCCTTTGCTATGTGCATGTTCAAATTGAATTAAAAGTCGGGATCCTGAAAGCAAGTCCACGATTGTCAGCTTTCCCAGGTGAAACCAATTCAAGCTCCTTTTTTTTTAACTTTGAGTCCTTTTCAAAGAGTTCTTGCTGTGCTGAAGCAGGAGGGCAGAGTGAGAAAGTTAAACCCGAGGCGCCAGGACAAAGAGCGCGAGACAGCGACTTGTCACAGCACTTGTGGTCAAAGTTTGCGGTAACGCTGTACTATATTCTGCTCAGCTGTGGAGAAAGTGCGACGCAGCCGGACCAGTGCAATAATCCAGCGTCACCCTGCCAAAAAGTGTGCCGTCTCTTTCCTGACAGTGCAGAGATGGTGACAGAAAGAGAGAGAGAGTTGCAATCGTCCTGTCTTCCTATCCTTTCAGGCATTGTCATGGGCAGCACAGTGTGTGACGTCAGCACCCCCCTTTCGTCCTTTTGTTATTTGTCCATTTATTTCTCAAAGTACTGTCCTCATGTTGCATTTTCTCCCATTTTTGCTCTGTAAACTCTCTGGAGGGAAAGAAAGAACCGTTTCTTGACGCCTGACTTGGGGAGAGAGAGAGAGGGACACAGATATAAATAAAGCACAAGAGCGCAAGTGAATAGAGAAAGAGAAGCTGCCCTTACAAATCTCTCAGTCTGTCTTCCTGCCTTCCGACCGGAGCGCTTGTAAAACTTTCAGCTGTGGCGTCCAGGGCCGGCCTCCATTGGCACCGGTTCAAGAAGAGAGCTGGCTGCGTCTAAAGCTCCCACTGACTGTTTCGGAGGAAGACGAGCTCAAAGAGAGAGAGAGGTCGGGCTGGTACCCATGAGAAGGGTGTCAGTGCGGACAGTAGGTCAGGGTAAGGGGGGCGGCAGAGGTGGCACATGTGCCAACGGCAGCTGCTCAGGGAGTTCAGACAGGGAGCATGAACCAGAGCAGAAAGAGGACACTCTACATCCCAAAGTTCTCCATTACCGGTGATGTTCTGCACTCTTAAAAATAAAGGCTGCAAAAGGGGGGTTTCACAAAGATGCCATAGAAGAACCTTCCTTTTGGAAGGCACCTTTTTGAATGCATGTAATTATAACATTCAAAGAAATGTATGTAAAGATTATTTTTAACTAGGACAGCAAAGTTTATCAAGAAACTTGTGACAAAGATTGAATGTTGGCTTGACTTTGAAGATTGAATATAGATAGACAGACAGACAGACAGATGATAGATAGATAGATAGATAGATAGATAGATAGATAGATAGATAGATAGATAGATAGATAGATAGATAGGTAGGTAGGTAGATTCCAAACTAAGTTCTAGAGCACATGACATATACACTGTTCGTGGTATGATTTTTGTAAGATTTTTTTGATGAATAGAAAGTTCAAAAGAACAGCATTTATTTGAAATTTGGAAATCCTTTGTAACATTATAAATGTCTTTATTGTCTTTTAATGCTATCTTGCTGAGTAAAAGAAAATAAAAAAAAAAAAAAATAATAATAATAATTTGCACCGACCCAAAACTTTTGAACAGTAATGTACAGCAATAAAGGTTTTCTGAGTTCCCATAATTCCACTCAGATGGCAGCATCCAGGTCATGTTCATCCAGGACTGCTTGCGCCAACTCATCTGACAGTGCTCTCTATGGCAAATTGGTTCTGATAGGACAGATAGTTTTGCTTTTTTCTGGGAGACCTCGCCAAATGACCCCAACTGCCTTAATGACACATAATGGCTGGAACTAAAGGGCGGCTGCTGGGGAACATCCTAGGCACGTTACTCGAGCGCTAGGGGGACGTTGCAGGGTCTAATAGTCTCTTCGGCGCCAGCAGCTGAAGGACGTGGCCTCTCCCACAGGAGCTATTACCCAGAGTCCCTCCACACTGATGTCATCCTGTGTAACGCAACGCTGAAACTGCGTAGAGAACCAAAGTTCTGTTCACTTCCCCCATCTGTATGCAGTGACATTCATGTGAAATAAGGACACAATCAAAGCCACTTGCTTTTAGCAATACCGTCAGAGGCTTGTCACCTGCTTTGCAAGTGTATAATCCTGAAATTTACATAACCCCGCCCAACAAGAGTTGTTGCCATGCCGTCAAAACTAGGGGTGCGTGAAAAAATCTATTCATTTATGAAACACGATTCTGTCTTCCAGTGTTTCCCCTGCCATTATTTTAGGGGGGGGGGCCGCCCCCCCCCCCCCCCCCCCCCATTTTGTTATTTGTCCATTTATTTCTCAAAGTACTGTCCTCTTGTCGCATTTTCTCCCACTTTTGTTCTGTAAACTCTCTGGAGCAAAAAAACATTTCTTGATGCCCGACTTGGGGAGAGAGAGAGGGAGACGGATATAAATAAAGCACAAGAGCGCAAGTGAATAGAGAAAGAGAAGCTGCCCTTACAAATCTCTCAGTCTGTCTTCCTGCCTTCCGACCGGAGCGCTTGTAAAACTTTCAGCTGTGGCGTCCAGGGCCGGCCTCCATTGGCACCGGTTCAAGAAGAGAGCTGGCTGCGTCTAAAGCTCCCACTGACTGTTTCGGAGGAAGACGAGCTCAAAGAGAGAGAGAGGTCGGGCTGGTACCCATGAGAAGGGTGTCAGTGCGGACAGTAGGTCAGGGTAAGGGGGGCGGCAGAGGTGGCACATGTGCCAACGGCAGCTGCTCAGGGAGTTCAGACAGGGAGCATGAACCAGAGCAGAAAGAGGACACTCTACATCCCAAAGTTCTCCATTACCGGTGATGTTCTGCACTCTTAAAAATAAAGGCTGCAAAAGGGGGGTTTCACAAAGATGCCATAGAAGAACCTTCCTTTTGGAAGGCACCTTTTTGAATGCATGTAATTATAACATTCAAAGAAATGTATGTAAAGATTATTTTTAACTAGGACAGCAAAGTTTATCAAGAAACTTGTGACAAAGATTGAATGTTGGCTTGACTTTGAAGATTGAATATAGATAGACAGACAGACAGACAGATGATAGATAGATAGATAGATAGATAGATAGATAGATAGATAGGTAGGTAGGTAGATTCCAAACTAAGTTCTAGAGCACATGACATATACACTGTTCGTGGTATGATTTTTGTAAGATTTTTTTGATGAATAGAAAGTTCAAAAGAACAGCATTTATTTGAAATTTGGAAATCCTTTGTAACATTATAAATGTCTTTATTGTCTTTTAATGCTATCTTGCTGAGTAAAAGAAAATTAAAAAAAAAAATAATAATAATAATAATTTGCACCGACCCAAAACTTTTGAACAGTAATGTACAGCAATAAAGGTTTTCTGAGTTCCCATAATTCCACTCAGATGGCAGCATCCAGGTCATGTTCATCCAGGACTGCTTGCGCCAACTCATCTGACAGTGCTCTCTATGGCAAATTGGTTCTGATAGGACAGATAGTTTTGCTTTTTTCTGGGAGACCTCGCCAAATGACCCCAACTGCCTTAATGACACATAATGGCTGGAACTAAAGGGCGGCTGCTGGGGAACATCCTAGGCACGTTACTCGAGCGCTAGGGGGACGTTGCAGGGTCTAATAGTCTCTTCGGCGCCAGCAGCTGAAGGACGTGGCCTCTCCCACAGGAGCTATTACCCAGAGTCCCTCCACACTGATGTCATCCTGTGTAACGCAACGCTGAAACTGCGTAGAGAACCAAAGTTCTGTTCACTTCCCCCATCTGTATGCAGTGACATTCATGTGAAATAAGGACACAATCAAAGCCACTTGCTTTTAGCAATACCGTCAGAGGCTTGTCACCTGCTTTGCAAGTGTATAATACAAGGGCAGGCTTGGTGACTTTCAATGCAGTCCTTGCACATTTCTAATTTACACATTAAATTATCTGAGAAAAGAACTTTGCAAGACATTTCAGCTGGGATTTCTGTGGTTACATTGTTTGCATAAGACCTATCCTGATACGTCATTGTGCTGGAGCACAGGTTTTGAACATCCCATGCCTTCATTGTACACTTTTTGTCTGTGGAAAAGACAGACTTGTTTGAAAATGTTGAAAAGGTTTTAAAAGAAGGGTTAAAAATAAGGTTTATAGGACTTACAAATAGATAGATAGATAGATAGATGATAGATAGATAGATTGGTTGGTTGATAGGATGTATTGGGGTTGCCAGATGGTTGCTTGGAGTTGCTAGTTTGTTCTATGCATTGCTCTGTGGTTGCTAGAGTGTTTTAGCAGTTGCTGGGTGATTGTGAAGGTGTTTTGGGGTTGCTAGGGTGTTCTATGGGTTACTGGGTTGTTGCTAGGGTTTTCTAGGCATTGCTTGGTGGTTGCCACGATGTTCTGTGTGTTTCTAGATGGTTGCTAGGGTGTTCTAAGGGTTGCTAAGTGGTTGCTAGTGTATTTTGGGAGTTGATGGTGTGTTCTACGGGTTGCTAGTTTGTTTTGGGAGTTGCTAGGGTGTTTTGAGGGATACTGAGTGGTTGGCAGGGTGTTCTGGTGTTTGCTAGGTGGTTTCTAGGGGGATCTAGGGGTTTCTGGGTTGTTTTGGGGGTTGTGTGGTTGAAATTATGGTATGGGGGTTGCTAGATGGTTGCTATGGTTCTTTGCATTTGCTAGGTTGTTGCTGTGGTGTTCTGGGGGTTGCTAGGTAGTTGCAAGGTTTTTTAGGGGTTGTTAGATGGTTTTGAGAGTTTCTGGGTGGTTATTATGGTGTTCTGGGTTGCTAGGATGTTCTAGATGTTTCTGTGTTGTTTTAGGGGTTGTTGGGTGGTTGATAGGAATGGTATGAGGGTTACTAAGTGATTGGTAGGATGTTTTGGGGGGTGCTAGGTGGCTGCTAAGGTGTTCTAGGCATTGCTCTATGGTTGCTAGGTTGTTTTGGGGGTTGCTAGGAGGTTTCTAACTTTCTCAAGTCTTATCTCTGCTAAATTAAATCTGATCATTCAGTACAGTTCTAAAACACCTCTGCTGAACAAGCTGAATGAATTTAGGTACTGTTCTTATTTGTTGCACATCTAGTATTCAAGTAGACATTGTGGAAGTGCAACTCTTGAAGTAGACGTCAGTTTAAGACACTACATATACATGTGCCTTTTATGCATTATTCATCATCATGAGCATAAGAAAATGGCACCTGAATGAGGTCTAATATCCACTTTTACAATCTTGCATTACAGATCATGTTTCCAGTTTTCTTTCGGTGCGATGTTCCCGAGGGCATTAACACATGGTCTTTAAGAATCGTTCAGGGTAATCAGTCCCTGACAAAACCGCACAAGTTTGAGTTAACTGTTCATTGACCAGCTGGTGACAATTTGCCGTAGTTATCGCATTGCACAACAGGAACCGAGCAAAAGTGTAGACAAAGGTTGCAGGATGAAACATGTTGAAAGATCAGACACTAACAAGAATGCAGCATGTCAAAAGCTGATTAATTTTTCTGTAAACATGCAAGTGGTAAGGATAAGTACTTATTTTATGTAACTATTGTTATTAAATTGCACTTTTTATGCTATCAGCTTCATTACATTATTTCTGATCTGTTCTTTAAGAAACATTATCTCAAATATTATTGGTGTTTTCTATGGCATTACTGTAATATTGCTCACATTTTCCGAAAACTACGCAAGACACATTAGTAACCCACCCTGCAACAACTGAAAAAATTATAGTTTTGCAAAGAAAAAAAAATACTAACATTTCAACATAAAGGTAAAAAGCTGTTTCCACTATAGCCAAGAAAAGATCATTTTGAAATGCATACACACTGGAAATTTTAACTCCTCGAGCTTTCTAGGGCTTTCACATGGGAATGCCATTGGATCAGTTTTGTCAATAAGTTATTGTAGCCAAGGTCAAAATATTCACAGAGAAATCTGATATTAGATCAGTGCTATGATGCGGTTTCAGTGGAGGGACTTTGATGGGGCACAGCAGAACATCGGGGGCGTCTATGGTGAAGTGGCATGCTTTAGTCACTTTAGATACAAGTATCTGCCAAGTGCATATTTATGATTAAGGATCTGAATGAAATCCCTAACTCTGAGCACCTTAGCAACCTCATAGCAACACACTGGAGTTCCTTAGCTATGGACTTGCAACGCCCTGGCAACCACAAGTAACTAAAAAAGCAAAACACTTAACACCACTTAGAACATCCTAGAAACTGCATAGCAACATGCAAAAAAAAAAAAACACACCATAGTTGCAACTTTCTAATAACTACTAGTACCCTTGCACTGACAAAGGAACAAATGTTCATGCAGAACACCTTAGGAACTACATAGCAACACACCAGAATACCTTAGAATACCTACTGCATATCAATATCCTGGTAAACACTCAGAACATTTGACTAATAACTTTGCACTACCTGGGAAAACAGCAAAAAAATCCAATGTAACCCCAAAGCAACCCATTAAAACCCCCCAGAACACCTCAACCAGTGCAGAGCAACATGCTAAAAACCCCTCAGACCTTAGAAGTTGCATAACAACACCCTGGAAACCACCCAGAACATCCTAGTAACTGATAGTAACATGTTTTAAAGACACTCAGATCTTAAGCCCCGTTCACACCGATAACGATAACTATAAAGATAACGATATTAGCGTCCACACCAGCGAACAATATTGTCTGTTTATTCTAAGCGCACATGCGTCTGCCGCTTTAAATTCTCGAGCTCGTTACAGCAGGATGGATTCTGATTGGCTGTCAATTTTTTATCGTTCATCAGCTGGAGAAAAATCGTTTTGAAAGTGATTCCAACGATATCGTTTCTCTTTGTCTTTATCGTTATAGTTGTTGTGTGGACTCTGCTATTCTTTAATATGGAGAACGAATTTTAGAACTATATCTTTATCGTTATCTTTATAGTTATCGTTCTTGGTGAGAACGGGGCTTAAGAAGTTGCAAAGCAACACCCTGGCAACCACCCAAAGTATCCTAGTAATTAATAGTAACGTTTAAAAACACTCATAGCAACGCCCTGGCAACCACATATAACATCCTAGTACCTGCAGAGTAACATGCTAAAAACCACTCAGACCTTAGAAGCTGCATATCAACGCCTTGGCAACCACCTAGAGCAGGGGTGGCGAACTCCGGTCCTGGAGAGCCGCAGCCCTGCAGAGTTCAGCTCCAATTAAAACTCCCCTGCCTGTAGCTTTCTAGTAACCCTTCAGACCTTGATTAGCTTGTTCAGGTGTGTTTGATTAGGGTTGAAGCAAAACTCTGCAGGGCTGCGGCTCTCCAGTTTTGTCAATAAGTTATTGTAGCCAAGGTCAAAATATTCACAGAGAAATCTGATATTAGATCAGTGCTATGATGCGGTTTCAGTGGAGGGACTTTGATGGGGCACAGCAGAACATCGGGGGCGTCTATGGTGAAGTGGCATGCTTTAGTCACTTTAGATACAAGTATCTGCCAAGTGCATATTTATGATTAAGGATCTGAATGAAATCCCTAACTCTGAGCACCTTAGCAACCTCATAGCAACACACTGGAGTTCCTTAGCTATGGACTTGCAACGCCCTGGCAACCACAAGTAACTAAAAAAGCAAAACACTTAACACCACTTAGAACATCCTAGAAACTGCATAGCAACATGCAAAAAAAAAAAAACACACCATAGTTGCAACTTTCTAATAACTACTAGTACCCTTGCACTGACAAAGGAACAAATGTTCATGCAGAACACCTTAGGAACTACATAGCAACACACCAGAATACCTTAGAATACCTACTGCATATCAATATCCTGGTAAACACTCAGAACATTTGACTAATAACTTTGCACTACCTGGGAAAACAGCAAAAAAATCCAATGTAACCCCAAAGCAACCCATTAAAACCCCCCAGAACACCTCAACCAGTGCAGAGCAACATGCTAAAAACCCCTCAGACCTTAGAAGTTGCATAACAACACCCTGGAAACCACCCAGAACATCCTAGTAACTGATAGTAACATGTTTTAAAGACACTCAGATCTTAAGCCCCGTTCACACCGATAACGATAACTATAAAGATAACGATATTAGCGTCCACACCAGCGAACAATATTGTCTGTTTATTCTAAGCGCACATGCGTCTGCCGCTTTAAATTCTCGAGCTCGTTACAGCAGGATGGATTCTGATTGGCTGTCAATTTTTTATCGTTCATCAGCTGGAGAAAAATCGTTTTGAAAGTGATTCCAACGATATCGTTTCTCTTTGTCTTTATCGTTATAGTTGTTGTGTGGACTCTGCTATTCTTTAATATGGAGAACGAATTTTAGAACTATATCTTTATCGTTATCTTTATAGTTATCGTTCTTGGTGAGAACGGGGCTTAAGAAGTTGCAAAGCAACACCCTGGCAACCACCCAAAGTATCCTAGTAATTAATAGTAACGTTTAAAAACACTCATAGCAACGCCCTGGCAACCACATATAACATCCTAGTACCTGCAGAGTAACATGCTAAAAACCACTCAGACCTTAGAAGCTGCATATCAACGCCTTGGCAACCACCTAGAGCAGGGGTGGCGAACTCCGGTCCTGGAGAGCCGCAGCCCTGCAGAGTTCAGCTCCAATTAAAACTCCCCTGCCTGTAGCTTTCTAGTAACCCTTCAGACCTTGATTAGCTTGTTCAGGTGTGTTTGATTAGGGTTGAAGCAAAACTCTGCAGGGCTGCGGCTCTCCAGGACCGACGTTCGCCACCCCTGACCTAGAGCATCCTAGTAACTGATAGTACCATTTTTAAAATCATTTAGATCTTAGCAACTGCATAGCAATGTCCTGGCAACCACCCAGAACATCATAGTAACTGCAGAACAACATACTTAAAAACCACTCAAACCTTAGAAGCTGCATAGCAACACCCTGGTAACCACCCAGAGCATCCTAGTAACTGATAGTAACATGTTAAAAAACACTCAGAACTTAGCAGCTGCATGGCAGTGCTCTGGTAACCACCCAGAGAGTCCTAGTAACTGATAGTAACATGTTTAAAAAAAAACGCTCGGATCTAGGTAGCTGCATAGTAACAGCCTGGCAACAACCCAGAGCGTCCTAGTAACAGATAGTAACATGTTAAAAAACACTCCGAACTTAGCAGCTGCATGGCAGTGCTCTGGTAACCACCCAGAGTGTCCTAGTAACTGATAGTAACATGTTTAAAAAACACTCAAATCTTAGAAGCTGCATAGCAACACCCTGGCAACCACCCAGAACACTTGATCCACCACATGGAATGTAGTAAAAGAGCGGGGCAGGATTCGCACAGGCAAGCACCACTATAGTTTAAAATGGAGTTTCCTTCCTATACTGTTATCCAGCCTTCTGGCAGAGGCCGTTGCATCATGGGAAAACTCATATTCAGTGAAAGGAGGTCAGCAGGACACTTTCAGACTGTATTCTCCTCTGTGTGCTCATCTGCTGCTGGTTCCAGCATTTGTTGTACAGTGAGGCAGTATCCTGTTGCCTTTGTTTAGTTTGAGTCTCTCTCTCTCTCTCTCTCACACACACACACACACACACACACACACACACACGTGTCCCTCAGGAGCGCGTACACTCCTCTGACCCACATCTCCATGGGTTGTCCTCATTGTTTGTGATTGTGAGTGTGAGTAATAAAGCCGCTGGAGTGAGGTCACGTCCTTAAGTAGCTGTTCTTCTGCTTCTGCATTATTTCATAAATCTGTTTCGGTGTAATAAAGATCATATATAGTTGAAGTAAATACACATTTATACTATATGCTGCATGCTATCAGTTATTGTTAGTCTATATGTAAATATGAACCAAAAGAATATGTATATGTAAAGAGGAGCATTTCAGTTCTCCAGTTTTATTTGTTATACGCTGGTGATCTGGAGAATACTGTACAGTTGCATCATAAACTGCACTGTCTCTTTAAGATCTTGAGCTCCACCTCTGAACCTCCTTGAGTTCACTGGCCCTCTGAGGGCATGATCTGTGAACGGGAGGAAGGCGGAAACAGCGCCATCTTGCCACCGGATGAAGCACTGCAGCACAAACAGCTTCATTTCACCATAGAACATGATCTTGAGCCAGTTTCCACATTTAATTTATCGTATTTAACTATATCGCCATC